CAATAAAAATATGTAGGTTAAATATTTCTTCATAAACTACGTTAAGGGTCGCAAATTCTCGGAAGTTATCCGCAAAAAACACAACTCAAAAGTTTATGCAAATTATGTGCCATGCAATTTGCGCCTTGTTATAGGGCTCTTGTTTTTGCGAAGGAGTTTATCTATTCGTACTCCAAAGGAGATATGACTCTTGAAAAGGTTTTAAGATCGCAACTCGGCAAAGATGTTCAGCTGCACAATTCGCTCGGATCGCCACGACCAGTAAATGACCTTCGTACAATTTCTGCCAGCATGTACAATGTAATCGCCATAAGTTGTATAAAGACCAGAAAAATTCTTTCCAAACAAATGCGTAGACAGCTGTGCTTGATTCTTGAACCAAAATGGTTTAAACTCACATCTTTCGATTGGATTAGGAGGATACTCAACCAAGCAAATTGAATAGTAAATATCTACGCGGAACACTTGTGTTAAAATATCCCGATTCTTTAATTTGTTTTTATTGTGTCTAATACGCGTTTTCGTAGAGCACGATTTGATATCGCGGTGCGAAGCCCAAGTAAACGCTCTTAGAGCGTTTTTGAATACTTTTGCAATGTTCAGTTCAAAAATGGGTTTATTTCTTAACACCTTTTTTTAATGGTGTAATGATATGCTTGATTTACTAGGCATCATGGGTAACCAATATGGCGAGCAATTTAGAGATATCATTGTCAGAATGGAAGCGTTTCATACCATCTGCACTTTGCTTGGAATAATCGGAGAGAGGTTCCAGGGTGCTGGTTTGAGAAACCTATGTTTAGAGTCCCAAGTGATTGCAGAGGGTTCAGAGTCGGAGTGCTGGAAGGACGGAAATATAACCGTGCCGTGCGGCTGCACAAGCTTGTGTACGAGGCCCTGATGAGACAGGTGTAATCTGGATTTCAAAAGTGGGTAGCAGAGAAGCACGATAAGAAGACGTCTCTAGTAGATGAAATGTTTTCTGGTCTTCAGAGCTTGCGTCATAACATTTGCGAAGCTGAGTTCAAGAAGAAACTTTGCGAAAACTCTTTCGCTGAGTTTGCCGAGCTGTTTGAAAGATACACATCATTCCTTCGCCGCGAGAATGGTAAGCTGTCAGAGTTCTGGGTCTCCTACCTTGACTTGGTGGATATTCTGCTGGCAATGATATGAGTCTCAAAAGAGGGTGACTGTGATCTTCACCTTTCATCCATCAGAAACCCCATACCGTGGTGCTTTGCCTGCGACAACATAAATTACGCGAGATACCTCTCGTCATATCTGTCGGAAATGTCTCACCTGTAAGATGAACATCCAGACATTTTCACATATTTGAAGTCTGCTGGGTTTGCTGTTCAGTTAAGAGAGGACAATCCCTTCGGTGAGATCCCTGTCGACCAAGCATGCGAAGAGACAGTGAACAAGGACACACAAACCCCTGGAGGCACCAAGGGCGTTAGCCTGATGCCCAAAGCAGTCAATAAATATTATTTGGTTGCTGAATATAGAAGTAGTTTTATGAGGAATTTGAAGGACATGCTTCACTTGAGCAAAATCAAGCTTTCACCACAATGACCTTCAAAAGAGTAGAATTGCAAGAGATGAAGCTGATATACAGTCCTTATTGACAACTCTGGAGGGCTGGATGAACCCTTTTCAGGGCGACATGCAAGACCTTATCTGCTTGTCCACAGGTAAGATGGCTTCTGAGGATGTTGCTGGTGATCTCCTACAAGCCAAACATTTGAGCGAGTTAGCATTCCAAAGTTTTAGCAAGGAAAGGTTGGAGGCTAATCCCCCAAAAGTAAGATTTCATGATTCGATGTCCAAGGCAATAAAGCTGAAGACCTTCAAACACATGAACAAGAAAGAGGGGCTCCGAAAACGAAATGCTAAGAGATTGTTCTTAACGCCGACCGTACACTATTCGCACAGATGATTGTTATTGCAGAGGCATGGCAACTCAGCATGAAAGAAGTGTTCTCCCATCCTCTCGGTCCGCTACCTGGGTCTCTGTCAGCTCCTGATGGCTCTCTAAAGAAAACAGCGAAATCCTCATTAGCCAAAGAGTTGCAAAAATATGTTCCGGTAGTTGAAAGTCGTCTACCGTTCGGCTTGCATTATCGATGGCATGGGAATGGTTCAAAGTCTTAAAGGGGATCAAAAAACGTTTAAAGAAATTACAGAGATGCTGTTGGCCATGGCTCTTCGTGAGGGAGGTAGCAGCACCAGGATCGATGTTGTATTTGATAATTATCGAGAAATATTGATAAAGAACTTGAAAAGAGAGAAGAGAGGAACCGAGATGGGTAATACATACTGGAGTATCCGCTCTGACTATCGTGTACAGAAGTGGAGGCCGTTTTTGTCCAACACAGAGAACAAACAGCAACTGATTCACTTTATTGTTAACGAATGGCGGAAAGAATGTTGTAGTGTCAAGCTTGCTGGGAAGAAGCTATACGTCACAGTAGCGGAGGAGTGATATAAAATAACATCAGGCGGATCAGAACTGTTCGAAGAGCTTGGATCTACACAAGCGGAGGCAGACTGGACACAAAGCTGTTGCTACACGCGTATCATGCAGGAAGAAATGGATTTACCACAGTTGTGATTTCATCTGACGATGCCGATGTGTTCGTGCTAGCGCTTGCTTTCAAGAGTTTCGTTCCTTCCTCAGTGTATATTAAGTGCGAAGCACAGGCCAGAAAGAGGTATATTGACATCACGTATGTTGTTCAGCACCATGGTTCAGAGGTGTGTAGATGTCTTCCTGGACCACACGCCTTTATTGGTTGTGACACTGTAAGTGCCTTTTCTGGAAAAGGCAAAATGCCTGCATTTGAGGTTGACGAAGCGACACGTGAGATTGAGAGAGCTCTTCCAACTGGTGAGTACAGATTGGGATGTGTCAGATGAGCTGTTTTCACGTCTTCAGGAGTTTGCCTATTTCATGTACAGCTCAAATCCAGGAATGAAAGATGTCAATGACTTGCGGTACTGCCCCTTCTGCGCCAAGAAAGGGGACCTTGACTCTAACCACTTGCCACCATTTGTCGACACTCTGCGCAAGCACCGTGAAAGAGCCAACTACCAGGCTGCGATCTGGCGCCGGAGTCTCCAGAGCCACACACAGATACCCTCACCAGCTGGACATAAGTGGAGTCTCGAGGAAGATAGCTAACTGGATGAGTGGGGAGCCAGCGCCTGTGGCTGTGTTTGACTGTGTTTGAATGTTTTTCAATGCACGGATTTGTGTACATTGAAAGACTGACAATCGATATGAGAACCCAGTTGAGGCTATCACTGACACATATGACGAGGTAGACAATTACACACATACCACTATCGAAAAAATCTAAACCCCGGTCTTGTAGTGATGAAAGATATGACCGTAACTAGAATCCTCTTACCGGTATAATTGCGATTTTGAAGAGGTATATTCTGTTTCTACGTCATGTTAGAAGACAAGAGATTTATGTTTATTTATTCCGTATCTGTATCAATGTATTCAAAGAAATATGGCTTCCACAGAAGTGTCTTTTCACTCAAATGTGCTTCAGGTTTAATATTTAAATGCTAAGGAAGAGTGGTTGTTTTGTTCTTGTCAAGAATACGACTAAACTGTGAAGAATTGTTGTTAGAAGATCGCAAAGAGAAACCAAAAAAAATCAAGAAAAAGAATATGGAGAAACTTTTTAAGAAATGAAGCTTGGTTGCGATAGCAACCAAATAGAAACGCCTTTACAAAGACATCTCAACCTCGAAATATGCACCTATTTATTGTATTTAATCCAGAGTTAGTTCAATTTTTCAAAGTAGAACATTTTATATATTGCAACAGTAAGTCAACAAAGGTGATCACTTAACAATATCAGTGACGTCACTTGACCACGTGATTTTAAAATGGAAGCCACATTGTTAGCATACATAAAGATAAAGTAGAATGAACAAGGTTTCTAAAAATGTATGATAGCGTTTGTCCTTAAGAGTGGTAAGAAATTCGATATTTTGTTGTCCTGGCCCATGGACTAGTTGACGCAATGATGGCGCGAGCAAAGAGAATTTACATTTTGATGATCAAAGTAAACAAGTTGTTTCCCTTTTTTTCGTCGCGGTGTTTTCTAAAAGAAATAGAAAACTGACATGTTTTCCGTGTTTCTATCGAGTTATAGAAACACTTGAAAAAGCTGTGGAGACACTCGCCTATGGCTCGTGTTCCCACAGCATTTCTCGTTCTCCCAAACTCACTTCATTTCTCGTTCTCTCCACTCGTGTTTCTATAACTCGATAGAAACAAGGCACATGTTTACTATTTCTTAATTACCATACACCAGAAACAAAGGAAAATGCCAAATAATAACAAGGGTAAAATTGAACCACGACAGATATGTTACAACAAACGAAATTAAATTCGATCTTGCTCCTGCAATAGTCCAAATTTTCTTTTGAATGGTTCCCATTTCGCATCTTCAAACGTTTTTTCGGAAATTTTCGAACCATTCTGTGCTGTTTTCTTTTTCTTTATTTCCACAATATGGTCGCGTGAAATGCTTTCCGTGAGATCAAAATTCCCTGCAATTGATCGTTCACTAGGCTTCAACCATTACAGGCTGGTAACCATGAATTACAGGCATATATTCGCTGCGACAGTCGTTCTTTCCATTTTCATTCTAGTTTCGTACTGGAGCTGAAAATCAAACTTACTAACAAAGAGTAGCATCTCAGGTATGTAGACTTAATTTATTAACGAGAAACTAATGCCAAGCATGTTAAGAGAAGCTTTTGTGACAACGGGTTTTTTCGCTCTGAATTCTAAACTGGAGAGACGGGCGTTGAGAGGCCTAACTGGCTGGAAACTTGTGTGCTTGACTCTATGAAATTAACTTGACTGATGGGGAATTAGCTCACAGACACTCGCTTGCTACGGGAGAGGAACTTGTCTCGGGTTCCAAAGTACCGTCGGATTTGCTACAACTGAAATCAGGACACTCAGAGAATTTGGACTTCACACATTTATTCTTCGTACTTTGCTATACGTCTACGATGTACAATTCGTTCATGTAAAATCGACTTACAAGAGTGCGAGCATTGCTTTTGTATCACACAACTCACCAGAGCTATACATTACATTCTGCACTATCTGAGATTGTCTCACTAGTTACTTTAGATATAGGATATGCTTCGTTGCATACTGATCGTCAACGGCAAAAAAAACTACTTCGAGATTTCGCAAGACCACCCGACGACCTCCGAAAATGTTTAAGCTGAGCACTTCTGATGATGTCCAAATATGACACTTTCTAAGGTTGTAAATTATTCAAACAATTTACAACCTTCCAATTAATATTCTAATCTTCTGAAGAAACTTTCCTAAAACTACTTAACGTCTTTATTGCACTTGTTCCTCTTAATTGTGACAAACTTTAGAAAAACGCCACGTCGAAGCCTCTTTCAACAATCGACCAGTTCCAGGTGCCATCTTTTAATTGTTAGCCAGGTAACCTTCGTAGCCACCTGGCCCGGGTTGTTTGCAATGTAGATAACGCTATCTACCGGATAAATCACTCCAGTGGATAGCGTGGTTTGTTTTGTTAACACTTATCCACGGGATAACGATTTATCCGGTGGATAGCATTATCCAGCCTTCGAACATTCGGAACCTGCTTGCTTCCTTTCTCGCTTGGTTAAAGCAAGTTCATTTTACTCCCGCAGTTCAAAAATATAACCAGCGACAACATATTTACAAGCCTTGTTTAAGTTATCAGCATCAAGCAGATTGAGTTAGCAATTTCTACAGTTCACTGTTTCTTGCCGGCACCAGCTTCACCAGTAATCTCCTCTAGTTCGCTCACGATATTCTTGCAAAAGAAGCATTCTTTGTTGTTCATTAGGTGGCGAGATATGCAGGATCTACAAAGAAAAAACAAGAACTGCGGGTGAAAAGACTGCCGTCTGAAGTAAAGTTCCATTTAATTAAAAATGACGCGTTTGAGAGAACTCACAAGGTTTTTCTTCATTTCAGTGTTATTGGAATTGGGGAGCACGTATGACGCAGTGATGAGAGCGCCCTGCTCCCTATTCTCGATTCCGGCCCGGTGCCATATGTGAGTTGAGTTGGTTGATGGTTCTCGCCTTGCTCCGAGGGTTTTTCACTGGGTTCTCCAGTTTTGCTCTCTCTCTCCCCGCACCTTNCTCCCTCCACTAAAACCAACATCTCCAAATTCCAATTCCACCAGGATAGAGAACCCGCATGAAAACCATCTAAGGCTGTTGTGGGTTCCTCTCTTAACATTGTATTTTTTATTTTATTTTCTATTTTATTGAAATTTCTAATGACGTAAACCAGAAATTTTACAAGACAACAAATAATGCCCTGACCAATATACTCAATTGCTAAAAAAACCAACAACAAAAACAAAAAAGACAAAAAATAAATAAATAAATAAATAAACAAACAAAGTAATATATTTCTAACGCCTAATACTTATGACATCTCTAGTACCCACTGTCACGTGACACCAACCTGCATGATGCATGACCGCACGGAATGAACCTGACGGAGATCTTGACTGCGCAACAGATGGGACATAATTCATCGACATCCACGGATTCCTGTTGGAAACGAGCCGCATTGAGTAAATATCTCATGACTGAACTGCCGACCACAATTTATGTGGTTGACAGCTCCGTCCACACTACGCCGGAGGAATTTGAAAACGGAGATTTCACTCTAAAAACGCATCAACAAATCCAAATTTTCAAACTACACCGGATCACAAGATTCAAAATTGTGTACTAGCTTGTACAACTATACAGCTTTCTTTTAAACAAACAAACAAAGAAAAAATAAAACAGAAAGCAAAGAAACCCAAAAACGGGCTAAAAAAGCCAAACAATAGGAAGAAAGAAAATGACACTTTCTTTCAATATATCGCAAAAGTGTTTTCCATAGAAAGTTAAAAAGCGTTATTGCACGTATTTAAATTAAACCCTTGTTGCAAGTTGCAGCAAAATATCGCACCGAATTGACCTCGTGTCTATTTAGCGCAACAAGTTGCCGTAAGTTGCAACACGTACTGCAATATGCGCAACAGTGCTTCTCGACTAAAAATGCAACGTTGTTGTGCGACAAAAAGATGTCGCCTGAATTACGAGGCCTAAATCTTACAACGTTTTCAGCATGTATCGTAATGGAATAAAAATGGCGAACGACAACGCTTTCCTTAGCCCAAAATTCGAACCATATCTAAAAAGGGGATTACGTCAAAGTGATTTAATAGCCAATCACAGCACGTTCTAGCACAATCATGATTGACAAGATTCTGACGTGACGAGTCGTAAAGCAGTACAACAACAGCACCTGTTTCTGGAGCCCAGTCTCCGAGTTCTGCCCGTCAAGATACATCACTAGATCTTCGACACGCTGTACCTCCTCTGTCGTTACGTCTTTGTTTACCACTGTAAAATAGTAAAGCATGAATTTATCCAAGGCTATTGCGCATATTAGTTTCATTTCTCCGTGGAAACTCTCAACCCAACTGTCAAAGGTTTAAATCAGTTTTAATGGCGCTCAATATACTTAATAGTCTGTTCAAAACATTCAGTGAGTTCTATCTCGATAAACAATTTTATTCTTTTCGGAGGAAAGGAAAAACACAATTTTATGAAATGTGGGGGATAACTCTAAGGGTATATCATCAGATGGAAGCAAATTTTGCCTAGAGTTTACATTGCGTGATGTTTTAAGAAACATCATACTGACACGCAAGAAAAACAAAACTTGATGTGTCATTAACCAAAACGAACATGAAATATGTTTCTTGAATTTTTTGAAATATCTCTTCGTCGATGTTTGTTGGTAAAAATGGCAATTTCAGACTTGTACACGAGGTGGAGACCAGTAAATAACTGGACCCGGAAGGATCTACGGACCGCACTTCACAAATCACTTGGTCATGCCTTATTTCTTCGCCGAAAAAGTGGATCTGCCACTTAGAGGTGACTACGTTTTGGTTAAAACAATTAATACGGTAAATCTTCGAATTAGCGCCTCCCCTCGTATAAGCGCCCCCATCTTCTCCTAAATTTGAAATATGCGCCAGGACGCTAACTCGACGATTTACGGCATTTAGAGAAGCAGCAAACTAGACAAAACCAAGACAGAGAAAGTCATTAAAAGATGCACACCTCGCGTTGATACTCGAGAAAGTTCATCACTGACTCTTCGTATAAGCATCCTCCTGTTTGCGAGTTTTCTAAAGATCTGCTTCAATTGACCAATCAAATGTCAGAATTGGGCGGGTTGAGGTTAGACTTCCTCCCAGTGGGTGGAAAAGATGATGTATCACCATGCCAACTGCCGCCAACCCCCCGCTCCCATAGTTAGCTTTTGACTTGCTAAACTCGAATCACCGCATGTTTGTGGCAGACCAGATCAAATGAGACACAAAATAAAAAGGTCAAATATTATTTAAAAACTTCCTAACTTTCTCGAGTGGCAACGCAAGGCGCGCATGGTTGTAAACATGAGGACTAAAATTGTTTAGAGGAAAAAAAAACAAAACAAAAAACCAAGTTTTTAAAGTACATGTTTTGAAGGAGAATTTTTGTGATGATTCAGACGATTTCTCGCCAGCAGCTGTCTTCCCGCCAACTAAAAAGCACACGGTGTCCAGACTGTACCCAGGCTCCGCTAACAGGGCTGAAGTGGCTCTCTCCTTGCTGTAATAATAATAATATTGTAACAATAATTATTAGTAATTATTAATCATTGGAGGTGGCTCTTGTCTTGTGACTAAAACCCTAGTGTGTGACCATTCAAATGAAAGCTATTGAGCGGTACTTTCATGTGGTACTGTTTATTATGCTGCACAATGTGGCTGTAGCTTTAAGTCTGTGGATAAAACCTAGTGTGTGACCAATCAAATGAAAGCTATCGAGCAGTACTTTCATGTAGTATTGCTGTATGTTCAAGGTCATTCTAAATATTACGTGTGTGACTGAAATTCTAGCGAGTGACCATTCCATTCCAATTTGAGCACTTTTTTGGATGAACAACGTTTGAAGTTTGAAACAAACCTTTCAATTGTGCCTTCCATAAGCAGCGTCAGCAGGATGCCAGTAACAGCACCAAGAATTGGAAACCTATCTACTGTTTCCAGTCCTGAGGAAAATAAGAAAAAATAGAGAAATAAAATTTAAACAACAACAACAACAACAAAAAATACTAAAATGAAGATGAAAAGTCTGTTTCTAAGCATGAGTTTGATCTTGATCTTACCAAACAGAAACTAGAAGAATTGAACTCTGCTCATCCCCTCCCCCTCCAAGATTTCTTTGAGGTTTCTCTAACAATTCAACCGCCTGTGCTTATGCAAACCATCTGGACAGGCTGGGTGGAAAGACACAAAAAACTTCCCTCTTCCGAGAACACGACTTCTGAAACTCATTTATAATTCCTCAAGTTAAAACAAAAAAATCATGGCCGTGACGGTGGTTCGGATACCCGGTCTTAATTAGCATAGATCTTGACGATTTTACTTCTCCGTTTACTCCTTAGTTTTTGTTCCGATTGAGAAGATATATCAAACACTCGAGACAGTGTTTCATCGGCTATCCAAACACCTCGATTTTTGCTGTGCATCGTGTTTTCAAGTCTCTTCTCGATGTTTGGATATCCCGATGAAACACATTCTCTCGTGTTTGATATATTACATACAATACCTCGACGAGGCTATAACCCAGGTCTCCGTATCATTAAGCAGCTGCGCATTTCATATTTTAATTTTATACCGATTCATAGCCCTTCTAAGTTGCACGTGGCGATTTTACTTCTCATATGATAACGACGATAAGGAAAAACTGGCAAACTTAAAACTAGCAATGTTTTGCCACTTTTGCGATACCAAATTGATCTTTTCCTGTTTGGAAGAAATACAGTGTATAACATGAAACATGGTTGCCACATCGAAACGTCGAATTGCGTTACTCCTTATATTTCTTGTTTTTCCTAATGAAACTAAAATTTACTTGACCAAATACTAAATATAAAACGTCATATAAAGTACTGTAACGGCTTCTTGCCTCCCTTTCAGCCGTCTTTTCCATATATTCATTAAGAATGATAAGTTCTCAACAAATTTTCCATCATCATTGACCCAAAATGTTTCTCTCAGCCTTCGGTGGTAGTAAATCACCCGTGTAAAGTTATTTTACAGTGCGATAACTCAAACCGGGCCGCCTAGAAGAAAACTAATCAATCAAAACGTAAACCGAGAACAACGGAGTGGTAGCTTCTTGTGACGGCAAGTAACGGTCTGTTTGACGTGAAAATATAAACACTATCGACTCCTCTGCGTTATATACACTCCAACAAATATATAATAAGTCCTTTCACGGCGAATTATCATAATTATAAATCTCGCTCGAAAAATTTAGCTAGAAAACTCACTTTGCGACAACTAAACCAAACCCGTCGAAAAGCGTACAAAATTTAGTATCAAAACTAACCAATCAACAATGGCAACGTTACCTGAGAGGTTCGCAACACTTCGCACTTTGTTGGTTTTTAATTTTGTTAAGACCTATTGTTCGTATTCTTCGATGTTATTGGTTTATTTGAGAAACAGATCGCTACCCTTTGTTCTCAAGTAACGTTCTGATTGGTTAATGAACTCTTTCCAAGTGGTCTGGTTCTAGTAGTCACACTCTAATTTCCCCTGACTTTTATTTTAAATGTCAAATTTCCTGACTTTTCCCTGACTTTGAAGAATTTTTCTTTTACTCTAACCATTTCCCGACCTGGAGCAACTCTAATGAAAGTATTACAATAATTCGTTTTGTAGAAGACTTCCACAGACATTACCTGGTAGATGAAGCCTCGTTACGTTCTCAAACAGATTTGAACTGGCTGTCACACGATTAAGCACCTGAGTTAACAACTTGAAAAAGAAAAACAATAATACAGTATAATCGATATCCAGATCATTTCATGATTCCACCAAAAGTGCCATGAGACGTAAAGGATAGCTGCAACGAAGTCACTGTCGAAAATCGCATTTAACATGTCTAGCTCTCATAGCTGGTTGTTTGCAGATCTGTGTAACTTGCTACACTATCTCTAATTCAGCGTAAAGCGCTCTTCTCTCTCTTCACTCGCATTTTAGACGAGATTGCGCGCAGCTAGCATGCATTGAAAACGTTCTTGGTTGGTAATCCACAATCCCTTTTGATCCCTTCTGTATATTTACCTGGAAAAGGCGAGCGATGTGAAGTTCAGCGGACTGTCGTTTCCAGTCCGTGAACACCTCAGGGGCAGCTGTGGCGACCATCTCTAACACCTAAGAATATACAACACAAGCATGAACAACTAGGATTCAGTTTAAGACCTTTTATATATTCACGGAAGATAACACAAGCCTTTTCACAAAAATACCCCCCCCCACAAAAATAGTGCAACAACAAATTTCGATGACGAAAAAAAAAAAATGTGTGATCGACAATTCTATGCCAACACACGTTACGTGTAAACTATTGCCACACTACGCCGGAGGAATTTGAAAACGCAACAATCGTTTGAAACTAACTCGGGCTGGGAAATCACATGATTATCGTGAGTTCATCGTTTCAAAAAGCTCCGTTTCAAACTGTTTTCTGTCTACACGAAAACGAAAAGCAGGCGTTTTCAAATTCCTCCGGTTTGAAGAGCGTTTTCGAGAAGTCCCGTTTTCGTGACGGATTAGTGTGGACGGTAGGCCTAACCGTAGAAAATAAGCTAGGTTTCCGAATTTCTCCGGCGTAGGGTGAACGCTCCCTGAAAAGATCGAGAGTAAGAATTAACAACTCACCCGCATTAACCCGACAGTCAAATCAAAACAAACTGCGCATGTTCGTAACTGGCGGGAATCCAGTACAGTCTCCATGCGATGTGTGGCCTGTTGAATCTATAACATATACAGAATGTTTACAAATTTTGCTATCTACAATCAGAGATCTTTTAGAATTTAACAGCAAACTCGTTAAGCATGGCACTGAAGGTCTCTAAAGAGTCTCTTGGCCGAGACTGCGAAACGCCGCGTCAGACTTGCCACGAACTATTTATTTCTCATCATGCAATTTTTCTTTTAAATATCTGCAGATCATTTTACGTACTAATTTTCAAAAATAGCATTCTTGCTGGTGAGATGTACTATTTAGTAAAAATAGCAACCTCAAGGTAATTTCCAAGAAATAAAAATGATTCATAAAATAAATGTTACGCAAAAAGCTGTTAAAACTATGCACACTAAACGTTTTTGATCATGGAGATTATCACCACAAAACTGATTGAGTACCATACCTCTTGTAACATTCCTATAAACTCCGAGAAAGACCAGTTTAACTGGTTTAGAAGGCCGTTAAGAAACTCGTTTGCAAGTTGGTTGTCTTTAACGCACAGCTGACCAAACAGCCGCTGGCATTTCTTAGAAGGATGAGGAGCTGAAATAACAAGGCAAATAACACTGAGCGTGGTTGGGAAAAAAGGCTGGGAATTAGGACGAAGTTACTTCATTTGAACTTCAGGAGGGAAGTACTAGCCAATGAGGGCTCAAACGTTTAGCAATATTTTACAGTTGTCAATTTCAAGGATCCTTAGCGTTTAATAACCAAGCCCTCACAAATTTGGAAACACAGGAACAGTTGTCTCTAAGAGGTATTTCATTAGTGACTTCATTTATGCGGCAGAATTTGTAACNAGTACCATACCTCTTGTAACATTCCTATAAACTCCGAGAAAGACCAGTTCAACTGGTTTAGCAGGCCGTTAAGAAACTCGTTTGCCAGTTGGTTGTCTTTAACGCACAGCTGACCAAAGAGTCGCTGGCATTTCTTAGAAGGATGAGGAGCTGAAATAAAAAGGCAAATAACACTGAGCGTGGTTGGGAAAAAAGGTTGGGAATTAGGACGAAGTTACTTCATTTGAGCTTCAGGAGGGAAGTACTAGCGTGAGGGCTGAAACGTTTAGCAATATTTTACAGTTGTCAATTTCAAGGATCCTTAGCGTTGAAAAACCAAGCCCTCACAAATTTGGAAACACAGGAACAGTTGTCTCTAAGAGGTATTTCATTAGTGACTTCATTTATGCGGCAGAATTTGTAACATATAAGCGTTTCTCTGAGCCATTTTCTTTGCACTGTAAATTTAAAGAGCTTCGCCGAAACTTCATTAAATACTTACGTTGAAGACTGGCTCGCAAATGGCCTGTAAATGCAAAAAAGTGCATGTCAGAACGGTTTCGTAAGCCATTTTTGATTGATTAAAATTCTAACTGGGCTCCGAGGCTTAGGAAAATATAACAAAATAAATCGCATCGTGCTGTGAGAATGGATGAGTCATTTCATCCAAGACTCGGAGCCATGTGAGTATTATAATATGTCGAAATGGGCCTATTGGTACACGAGCAAAGTCGAAGCACTGTACCCATGCACATGGATAAAACGTCTTAAGGAAGAATCGCTAGTGATTTTTCTAGGAATTAGATGTAGAAGGATGAAAACACCCAAACAAAAAGATTCCCTCCCACATGATGGCACTTTGGATTGGTAGCAGGCTTTTCCAGTGTCTATCTGTCAATTATTAAGTAAAAACATCGCATGCAAGATAATGCCGCGTAAATAAAACACACTTTGTCAACTTACCTTGCTCAGGCAATCCCAGCGTAATGACGTCTGGCGAACTCGTGTAACGAAACGCAAATCCACAGCCCTGTTACCCAAACAAACAGGAACATGAAAGTTCTGTTTAGGAGGGAGGGAATGAGGAACACGGGAATCAAGGAGGGCGGGGGGGGGGGGGGAACTCTATGGGAAAGGGTAGATGGGAAAATGTGGGAAGACAGATTCTCAAGGTGGCAGGAACCGGGAAAAATGAAGGACGCTTTCCCTCCGATGAATAATTTGGTTTGAATTTCCGGAAATTTCCAGCGACGCATGGTGCAGTATATTCTGTAATTTCCAAAATAGAGGACAACCTCGCGAGGTATACACAAATTTTTCGCTAATTTCGTACCGTCAATCTCCATTCTATTTGATTTCCCTACCGGAATTTCCAGAATTTTCAGTTGAATGGTTCGCTTTTCGCAAATTCAGCAATTTCCAGTTTTCTAGAAACTCTCTCAGAAAATTTTCCTGCCATTTTCCCAAACTTCAAAATTTTGTGAATTTTTGGTTGAATGGAAAGCGTTCAGAGAACTAGAGAAATTCAACATTGGATAATATCTTACAAGAGAAAATGCGCCACGAGGAAGCGACCACCAACGAAGGGGCAAGAACTAGGGGTAAAAGCTACGGGCTGTGAGTAATTCACAACNACAAATTTTTCGCTAATTTCGTACCCTAAATCTCCATTCTATTTGATTTCCCTCCCAGAATTTCCAGAATTTTCAGTTGAATGGTTCGCAATTTCAGTAACTTCAAATTCAGCAATTTCCAGTCTTCTAGAAACTCTCTCGGTAAATTTTCGTGCCATTTTCCCAAACTTCAAAATTTTGTGAATTTTTGGTTGAATGGAAAGCGCTCAGAGACCTAGAGAAATTCAACATTGAATAATATCTTGCGAGAGAAAAGGAGCCACGAGCAAGCGACCACCAAAGAAGGGGCAAGAACCAGGGGTAAAAGCTACGGGCTGAGAGAAATTCACAACACCTTGTCCATCCTTGCTCTGTATTAAAATACACCTTTTCCTTACTGGTGTCCGCACAGGTCTCTCAGTGTTAGATGGGAGAACTTGCTTAGGGCAATATATATAAAGGCAGTCAACTCACTTGTAAGTTCATTCTTAGTTTTCTTTTTACCCATCTAACTCACCTTCCATATTCGCACCAGAATCCATGTTGTTTGAACCCAAGATCGTTTGTCGTAAGCCGCCATAAGAGAACGAACACATTTTTCCAACCTGATGGTTTGTCNTAACTCACCTTCCATATTCGCACCAGAATCCATGTTGTTTGAACCCAAGATCGTTTGTCATAAGCCGCCATAAGAGAACGAACACATTTTTCCAACCTGATGGTTTGTCGAAATTATTAAATTAAAAGGGCAGTTTTCATACAATACTATAACAACCTTGAAGAGGCGCGGTGGCCTCGTGGTTAGTGCGTTCTACTCCGGATCGAGCGGTCTGGGTTCGAGCTCTGGCTGGAGACATAGTGTTGTGCTCTTGGGCAAGACACTTTACTCTCACAGTGCCTCTCTCCAACCAGGTGTACAAATGGATACTGGCGAATTAAATGCAGAGGGTAACCCTGCGATTGACTAGTATCGCATTGTATAGGGGGAGTAGAAATACTCCTAGTCGCTTCATGCTACAGAAACCGAGATAAGCTCCGGCCTGATGAACCACTTGGCTGGAATGCAGACTTTACCTTACCTTACTGTAATAACTAGATTTCTTTGTTTATCTCAGTCATCGTACTCCTTTATCACTCTTCAAAATCAATAGGAGGTCCTGTTTTACATGTTTGTCTTTCGAATCTTAAACGATTTAGTACAAAAGATTAATTTGCCCAGTTTATGGGTCGCATCTTACTCATGTAATTTAAAATTCAAATCCCTGACAACAAACTAAATTCCTTAGGTCAGCGCATTACCCACACGAAGAAGTTAAGCAGTTTTTGCTTCATGAATGCTTTAGATTCTCAGACATTTATCTTTAGGAATCGTTTTCAATTATCGTCAACAACAACAGCAGCACCAGCCACAACAACAAATTTGGTTACTGATCGGTTTAAACTAAAAGAAAAACAGAAATGACTTACAGAGCTTCTGGCATGTTCTCCATTGCTGCAAGACTGTCTGGGTAACAGACAAATGCAGCTAAAGCTTGAATAATAACATCCCGTAAATCTAAGGGTGAAAGAGAAAATGATCACACATTTGGTACAAGCCTCAAGAAAGGATGATAGGAAAGAAGGGAGGTAAGAAAGAAGGAAGGAAGGGGGGGGGGGGGTAGGGAGCATGGGGGCACGGGATCAAAGCAGCACGCGAGCATAGGAGCATGGGGACATGGGAGCTTGGGGGAATGGAAGAATGGTAGCATAACAGCATAGAAGCATAGAGTATGGAAGCATGGTAACATGGGAGCAAGGGAGCATGCTGATCAGGAAGTTTGCGGGCAAGGGAGCATGTGAGCATGGGAACATGGGGGTATGGGAGCATGGGAGCAAGGGAGCATGCTGATCAGGAAGCTTGTGGGCATGGGAGCATGTGAGCATTGGAACAAGGGGGCATGGGAGCATGGGAGCATGGGAGCGTGGAAGCAAGTTAATCAGGGAGCTTGTGGGCATGGGAGCATGGGAATAGGGAGGCATGGGAGTATGGGAGCATGATAGCATGGGAGTATGGGAGCATGGGAGCATGGGAGCACGGGAGAATGGAGCATGGGAGCATGGGAGCATGGGAGCATGGGAGTATGGGAGAATGGGAGCATGGGAGCGTGGGAGCATGGGAGCACGGGAGCATGGGAGCACGGGCGCATGGGAACATGGGAGCATGCTGATCAGAGAGCTTGGGGTATGGAAACATGGGAGCACGGGAGCACGGGAAATACCGAGGCAACATGTCAGAAAAGGAGAAAGACGACCAAGTGAATTGAGAATAAGCTGTTGCTTGCAACGTACCTGGATTGATAATTTTTTGGTTGATAAAGTGCGTGCACAAAAAGACCGCCATTTTTTGAAGAGTACCATTGGCATCTAACGAGGAAAAAAAAAAAAAATAACAGGAAGAACGTCTGTTGATGAGAACTGAATTCATAAATCGTAGAAGCTGTAGACAAGATAAAAGCTCGCAATGTAAGTGAGGCAGTGAAAAAGTTTTCAAAATTTATTTCCTTTTTGGTATAAATAAATGCTGTTGTTGTTGTTGTTGTTCAAGATCGTCACGCAAACTTTCGGGTCGCGAGAAAAAGCGTTATGCAATGATGTCAGCAAGAACACCTCAAGAGACTGGGTTTGAGTGGAGCCCAGTCTGTTTGTAACAATAAATATCCGTGTTATTCAGTTGGAAGTGGAACGAGAACTTAGCATGTTTCCATGCAAGCAGAAAAAAAACCTTGCTAAGCAACTTCCCACATGCTCACTACAAGAAAACCACTCGCTTTTTGAGCTCTATGACGCGTTTACTTTGTCAGTAAAAAGAAGCAAAGCAACAAAGAAACGCTTTGTCCTCGAGGCGATAAAAAAGTCTTCAAAATGATCCCATAATGATGCGAAGTATGCACGACTATTTGAAATAATAAAAAAAATGTTTAAAAAGCAATGGACCTGAATTCAGCAAATTCTGGGTTTTGTGAGAACGTGAATCACAGTGATTGTTTTCACTTCAAATTTTCTATTGTACGTTGTTTGTATACATTAAGCCCGGTGACAGAACGATTTTCACGTAAGTGTCAAAAGTAATATGCATTTTGTACTTTGGTGTTGTACTATCACGCTACCCAATTGCCGTGCAAAAGTCACGCCACTTGGTCATCCACTCATAAGTAAAAACAAAACATGTTTTTGCAATAACTGCAGAAATTCTCTCGCGCTCATTAGTTAATTTTCACTGTCAGTAAGAGGACAGACACATGAATTTATAATTTATGAACGAGCGAAAGCGGACAGTTTAATAATTCGTTATTGTAAACAACAAATTGACGTCCGTTTTTCACCCGTCTATCCTGTTATTGACAATGAATTTCGTCATAATATTATCAAAGTAGTCTACATTAGTAAATTTGAACAGATAACTGACACAAAACAGTTGACTGGCTTGACTCTCATGGTGGTGTTTTCTTTGTATCCAAGTCTCTTTTGGAAATTGAAAGACAAAGGAAACTTAAAAAATTTGTAGTTTTGATCCGAAAGCCTCGGATCGATGACTCAAAACTCATCTACTGTGTCGTCCCGAAGGTAGAAACTTGAAGACAACACGGAAAAGAGTGATAGCAAAATCTCGCGAAATTTAGCCAGGAATCAACCGCTGGATTATGTGTAAACGTTTAAGCAATTACACTGAGAAAGAAAGGAACGAACGACTTACAATTCATTTTAAATTGGTCTTCGTTCGTGAACCACTACAACGCTTACTTTCAGCCGACAAGAAAAAGTTTCTACAAATTCCCAGCTACACCAAAGACCTCCGTAAAGAAATAGTACAAGCTCTTCGACCTCAAGATTTTAAGCCAGAGGGAAAAAATTTCGTTAAATTCAAAGAGTTCATTCAGTATTTTTCCGACAATATGTCACGCAATCAGCACTGGCGACAATATAAAAAACTCTGTCACCAGTGTGTTATTGACTACGATTTCATTGGTCACTTAGAGACCTTAAAGAAGGACGCGGCTTTGTTGCTGCAAATGGCGGGAATTGACGGCCGCGTAACTTTCCCGCCAATCCATAAATCAACCGGTCCATCTGAAGTGTTGAAGTATTATTCAACAGTTTCCCTGAAGTATATAAATCGCTTAGGAGAGCAGTATCGCAATGACTTTGAAATGTTCGGCTACGAATATCTTGGTCCTGTGAAAAAGCTTTTGAAACAATCTTCGAAAGACTAGCCGTTCTGCTTCGCGAGCCCAGAGACAATTCCTTATAAAGGCGAAATTATAAGCAGGAAAACAATGGCTGTTCCGAAAATGAGGAGATAAAAAATACAAATTAAAAAAATATATACGATATGAATTAACATAAAAAAAACCTAGAATTCTAATAAACTAAATATATAGCTAAAACAATTTAAATTAAAATTTTAAAATTAATAAATGAAAACTTGTTTAATAGGGCCTACAAAAAGTGAGAAAGAATAATCTCAGAATTCTCGTCTCGGTAAGAGAGTACGGTGTTAACTGCCCTAGGTACTGCAGGGAGCCGCCGTAAGCAAGGTTGAGCGCTGATCATACATTTCCGTATTTGGTTATACGATAGAGAATGGGGGTACGCGAGTAAATACTCCATATATAAGCAGTGAACTTCAACAGATGCTCACCGTAACACTTAGATTCATCACTTACATAGCTGAATATACTGACAAATATGAATCTTCTCCTCCCTGTGGAACGCTGGCTGGTTTATGATTTGAAATAACCCCGTCTACCTCTCTCTTTTGATCCTCCACCTCACCATCCTAGCAACAATCCCCATCGCCGCTCCCCCAAAAATCTACCTCTCCTTGTCTTTCTCGAAAAGTTGAGGAGCAAAAGCACTGAAAAGGCGCCAAACGTCGATAAACACACTAGAGCCACGTTCAGCCGGACATACTTATTCACTAACGCGCTGGTAAAGAAAGCAAGAACTTATGCCGGTTACAAAATTAACATTCACTTCCTGAGCGAAAGGAGCGAAAAAGACAAACAAACAAACAAACAAAAAAAGATCAAAAGTAAAAATCTGATTTTCGCAGATATCGTATTCTACCTAAATAACGAAAGAAACAATTTCTTACGACCTAACCTAACAAACAGCAAAATCATGATTTGCGCGGAATTCATCTCAGTCCATTAATTATATTCCGGGAATACAGTTAATGGACAGAGATGAAACGTTGATGTGTGAAAAAACTTTGAAACCTTTTAAAGTGAAAAATCTACTATTGAAATATAATATCGTAAATGTTGCGGTGAAAAAAAGCCATTGAAAACGCAGTTGCTATAGAAACATCAGAAAAACCTTGATTGGCAGGATGGGATTCAAATGGCTTCTCAGTCTCGTTGGACTAATCTAAAACACCAGCAACACCTTACAGAAAGCGATTGAGCATCAAAAAGTCCTTGATTGACAGAAATAATGCTAATGCCTCTTCTTGATCTCTCATTGGCCTAAACTGAAACACCAACAACACGTGACATGCTGTAAATCAACTAAACCGTGACGAGTAAATGTAATTACAAGATTACATTGATTACTCTGACAGCAAGTTTTTAAGCCCAACCATGAAGATGAAATTTGGAGCTGGAAAATATTTCCTCATACTGTTAACATTCGCACTGTTGTCTTACTACGGCAGTTGGATAATGACGTCCAATCGAGCGGAAAGTAATTTAGGTAAGGATTTTGACATCTTGAATAAGGAACTCATATAAACTCATTGCCGACCACAGTCGCTGTAAAACATCGTATTTAGTTCCATTACTAGTTTTCTCAACTCATTTTACAGTTCGGTAAACTCATGATAGATCGTTTTCACAAGATGTAATAAAGTTTTAAGGTATCATGGTAGGTGGATTGACAGTGTTTGGAAATCGCGCTCTTGTGCTGGCGCTTTGAAGCTTTGAAAGAAAACCCCATCAACCTATACATTTTCTTAAAGCTTAATAGTTATAGAATACAATCATATCTTTGACATTTTCTAAAAAATTATTGTCGCAGTGATATAAAAGAAATACTCAGAAACACTGCTTCGCTTAACTGGTTCGCTTCCGCGTGTGAATTATCGGAGCGGCGCGATTTACATCGGAAATGTTCTCTCACTCATCACCCTCAAAAATCGTGTCTGCGATTTTCCAGATGTGGTTTGGTTTTTTTTTCTACACTCTCCTAAACTTTGATATTTTTAATGCGGACGTTTCCTTCTACAAAAGAGGCCATAACTTTGAAACTGAAGCGAAATTAAACAAAGCCCGACACGCTTTTTCGAAGGAGGTATCCTAGAACATACCT